GCCCAGTATAAGCTTTTAGCTTCTTCCAATCCTTTCATGAGTGATGGTCGCTTTATCACCCCATCTTCTTTCTATATCTTTTCAATTTTTTTAAAATTTCAAATTTACTTTTTTTACTTTTTATTTTTACTAATTTTACTTTTTATTTTTTAAAACCCTAATCTCAATCTTCTCTCGCTTTCACTTTTCCTTTCACTCTGAAGAGCAAGCCCTCCACTTCCATTGTTACTTTCTCTCTTCCACTTCTGTTAACACAACATTTTCTTTTTCTTTCTTTCTTCTCCCCACATAACTTATTATTTCTTTTTCAAATCATCTTAATAATCAACAATTTGCACTTAATTAAGCTATAAAATAAATATCTTCTTAGTTGAGTTTTCATAGTTATGTTAGCTAAAGTCTAAATTCCTCCCTCACATGGGCCTCCATGTGACCCTTAAAAGGGGAAACACAACAATGCTGCTACTACCTAGTTTTTTGTAATAACTTAGATTAATATTATTGTTATTATAACATGTTTTGATTCTACCAACTGTTGCACTACCCGAAAGCTCCTTGTTATAAATGATTGCAACTACACAAACATTGTTTCAATGTCTTGATGATGGTTGATGTTCTATTGTACAGTATCACGTGTAATTAAACAATTATGATGATGCGAACAAGAAATATTTTATTGAATCCATAGTGGAACGATACACTACGCACCAACGGAGAGAAGAAAGAAAGAAGAAACGAAAAAGAAAAATGTTGTGTTAACATAAGTTAAAATTAAGAAAAAGAGAATAAGTGACGGTGGAGGATGGAGGCTTGCTGCTAAGAATGAAAGGGAAAATGAAAGTGAGAGAGGATTGAAATTAGGGTTTTAAAAAATAAAAAGTAAAATTTGTAAAAGTAAAAAGTAAAAAAGGTAAATTTGGAATTTAAAAAAAATTGGGGAGGTGTAGGGAGAAGATGGGGTGGTGGAGGGAGCATCACTCTCCTTTCATTTGTTCTAGAATTATTTTTTTTTTCTTGTATTTCCGTATTTTTCTTCTATACTTTCATTAGTATGAAAATTTTCACTTTGTCTTTCATAGATTTTAAAGTTAAAATTATATTTAAAATTGAATAATTTGAAAAAAAAAATAGATTACACAGATTCAAAGTTACTTTTTGGCTTTTAAATAAAAACTTTTTTAATCATTCAAATCGGAAGTTGAAAATAACTTACAGATTATATAATATAAAAATTAAAGTAACCTTTTCAAAACTTTCTTCAAACAACAAAAAAATACTTCCCCATTCTGTAATTTTGAAACCAAAAAAGACTTCTACTAGAGTATACAATCTAGAATATACATTTGACTTTGTATTTATGGGAGTGTGGAAAGAAAGTACCGAGATGCAGAAGAAACGAAAACTTTTAGATTGAGTATTTTACATTTTAAAAAGCCCATTACAAAAATAGATAATAAGATGTGCATCAACATTAACGAAGTGCAGAAAGCAAATTCGCTACGAAGCCCATTAACCGACTGTCCAAACCTTAAACTATATGGACCCTAAAAAAACACGAGAAAAACAATGTATAATAAAAACAAACAAGGTGATTATGAATCGTGACCTTTTTAGATATGTTTTAAGTTCTCTAGATTTGGGATAATTTAAAAAAATATTATTTTCTTTTTCTTAATGTTATAAAACCTTTCATCAATTTTCGATACTATCAAAAGAATTAATTTACGAATTACAGCATTTATATGATTATACAACCCTTTGATTTCTTTTCAAATGATTCGAATATTTTTCACATTATAGGGTCTAAAAAACTAATTTTAATTTGAAAAGACAAAAAAAAAAACTTAACTTTCAATTTCAAATACCGCAAATATATTAAAATTAATAAAAAGTAATCGTTCCGTAACTCTATTTTATTATTTTATTGCTACAAGTTCATTTTGGACCTTAAAGGAAGCAAAAGACGTGTATCAGTTTTATTTTTGAAACTGGACAGTGCCTTTAATAATCTCCCCACATTAAGACATTATAATAGCTATAATGTACCTGCACCCCATTGGCTATCTAAGTAAGATATACATATCAATCAAATAGGTCTTTTGTGGAGGACACTAATCTTAATAATAATTTTGTATCGTCTTAATTTTATGAAAGTGAGTAGAATTGACCTTTGAATATTAATTTTGATTTGACATGGTGATTTTTTAACATAATATTCGTCACAAAAACAGTAGTATATTACGTCTATGAAGAGGTGTTTTAGTTTTGAATTAAATATATTATAATTTTTTTAATTTTATATGAAATTATAGTTTATTTTTCTTAGATTTTAATATATTTTAGTCTTTAAATTTTAAAAATAAGTAGATACAGTTATTTTAATTATGTTATTTTTTTTATATGTTAAAAGTGTTTTAGACTACTCTTTGAATTGTTAATATTATTTAATACATTTTTATTTAAATTTTAGTTAGAAAAATTGTTTAATAAATTTAAATAAATTGAAGATAAAAATATATTAAAATTTAAAATTGATAACGAATTTTAATTTTACATATAAGTTTTGAAAGTAAATATATTTAATCCTTTAATTTTGAATGAGTTTTACTCAAAATAGTTTGGTTCTTAAATGGGTAATCTTAATATATGAATTTAGATGAGAAATTTGATAGGTTTTATTTTAATTGAAGAATATAATGCGAGAAAACCAAAGTGAAAATGACATTGAATTGTAGAGGCGGAATGAAGATACTAGACAAACAAAACCAAAGTGGGTCTTAGGTTGACACATTATTGAGAAGAAACGTGACATGTTTCACTCACCTCACTCTGCACTTCACGCATTCCCATTTAACAGTATCACTCAGTGTGATAACTCTCCCACGTGCCTCCCACTTGCTTATGCTGTGTTTTTTATTTTTTAAGATAACGATGATACTTTGATAATATTTTAACACCATTTTATATAATTAATCAATCTATGTTGTGTTTTTTATTTTTTAAGATAATAATATTTTGATAATATTTTAACATCATTTACATAATTAATTGATGTTAATATTTATAATTCTTATTATTGATTATTGATTGTGAAATAATTTTAGTTCACGTAATAACACATAAATAATAAATATCACTATTTTTTTCATCACTCATTGTTTCTTGACCTTTTAAAAAGTAGCAACCATTTCATGCTTACTAATATTATTGTTTTGGGTGTGAAATCAAATTCAACTGTTCACGTTGTGTTGTTCGATGTTGATATTTAGATATTTTTTACAAAGTGTTTCTTTTGGTGTTTAAATGAGTTGAAAGATATTTTTAGAAAAAACTTCGATACCAAAATTAATTAACATTTGACACATAACAATTATTATAATAATTAATGCACATAATTTATCTATTTATCTTAATTTTTTTGTTTTATGATGAATTTTTATTAAAATTGATCACGTTTAATTATGAGTAATCATATTCTACTTAATTTTAAGGTTAATTTATTATGTGATTTTTCATTTGGATCAGTCCAATTTATTATTAACTGATTTATTTATTGGCTGGTTAAATTCATTGTCTTGTTCATTAAATTAATGATTGGTTATTCATGGTTAGTTTAGATGTCGATGACTTGCACTTTAAGTTGTGAAACATTTATTTAAATTTATATATAATTAATAATCTATTTGACAGTTCAATTAGACTTATAAATTTGTATTCAGACTGATAAATAAGGACTCCCTAGTTGATCATAAACTGATCAATAGGTATAATTATAAATATATGAGTATATATTTTTTGTATAAGTTTTTTTATACTTAGATTTCGTCAGGAATGGTCAATGTATAATAATAAATTATATTTTTTATTGTTTAAACTATTTAATTATTGTTATTTCCCCGAGAGTCTTTGAATAGTGAGGTGCGTGGTCATCGCAATCAAACTCGGAGGAAAGTGTATTAATTTATTACTATAAATAAGATATCATCATCACCTCCTTAAAGATCTCCACGTTAAGCATTTATTTATTTATTTATATTTACAATAATAAAAATTAACACCAATTCATTTCGAACTTCTTCCTCATTCAATGCATGATAAGCTTAGCTTTATCCAGGGAAATCTATTTTTAATTCACAATAAAAACATTTTTATCCGTAACTAGCTTCATCCCCATGGACGAATAATTAATAATTTTTAAACATACATATGAATAAATTGAGTTCCAGAAAAGTATCAAAGTTAAATTTAATATGTAAGTATGCAACAATAAGTTTTGAAGGAGATTCTTCAAAAGAAAAAGAAGAAAATAATATTGTTTTTACTTCAATAAGATCATGGGAATAATCATATCATACTTCACATTTATTTATCTGTTGCTTAATACAGCTATATTATTCCTTCGTTAAAAAATACAGCAATATTCTCCCGTTACTAGAAGAATGTTTCATGAACATTCAAGTGAAACAACTCTTAATTTTGAAATATATAATGCGAATACAAACAAATAAAAATAAAATGAAAACAGTGATAATCACACTGTACCATGCATACAAATAATAATTCGTGTTAAAATTTACTTGTCAATTAATATAACATTTAAACGTTTCCATTTGACGAGTCATTTTATTATAAATAATTAAGAATACACCAATGAAAAACTGGCTTACAGTTATTTTTTAATGCTATTATTTCATAAAATGTGACTTTAATTCTTATAAAATTTTAATCATGGTTTCATTTAGATTTTTATAAAGTTAAATAATTTTGGTTAAATCTCGAAGTATAACCGTCAAAAGCCATTATCATATTAATCCGAATCAGGTTATTCAAAATACTGGAGAATAGAAAGTCAAGACAAAGAAACATCATTAAAAGAACTAAGAAACATGACTTAATTTAATACCTAAATCAATCAGGATTTACGTTTTCGATTTTGATGCAAGTTAAAGAAAGTTTAGAAAAGAAACACGTAACAATGGTGGGAACTAGGAAGTGTCAATGTTAGGGAGCAAGTCAGAAAAACTAGTAAGGCACTGCTGACTCATTGACAGAAAGACTTCGCAGGTTTCTCGTGAGCCTCACATTGGAATCTGCCCCTTACTTGCCGATTAAAGTCACTGTGTTCAACTTCATCGCTTTCTTCTCCCTCTGTCAACCCTCTCCATTGCCACATTTCTCTCTAAGTTCTATTTTCTGCTCTCCCAGGCCCCACCTTCGTTTTCCTTCAACCAACTCTCAATTAGAAAAGTGGGTTCTCTAAAAAATCTGATTTTTTTGGGGCCCTTTTTCACTTGAATCTCCCCAGTTTTGATTCTTCAACTTATGGTGCAAATTGTCTGAAAAGTTAGGCGCTTTATGAAAGTGATTTAGCTCCTCTCTTCCTTCCCTCTTACAAACTCTGTACTCCAATTTTCATTGAGCAGAAAAGTACTACCAATCACTAAATCCCGAAAGGTTCCTTTTTCCGTCGTTCAATGGAGTCAACTCGTGCAACCTTTGGTGGCATTCTAGCTAAAGTCAGTGAGGGAACTGGAAGAAGCAGGAGAAGTGGGTTCTGGGGTGAGAGTACAAGGGGAAGTGGGAACACAAGGTTTTTAAGTGTTCAATCATGCAAAACTTCACAAACCAGTAAGAATCTTAGAAGCTCCAAGCCTCCTGGAGTTGCACGTGCTGTTCTCACATCAGACATCAACGAAGATTCGGTGGTAAATCAACAAATGCACACACATCATATATTGAAAGGAAATTTTTATTCAGTTTGGCGTGTCTGATTGTTTAATAAGCATTCAGTTTCAATTCTTAACCGCAGTGCTTCCTTTTAGGCATATCAGAGGGTGCCCACTTTTGAGACCCCCGAAGTGAACCCAAAAAGTGTGGCTTCTATAATTTTGGGTGGAGGTGCAGGAACTCGTCTCTTTCCTCTTACTGGCAGAAGAGCCAAGCCAGCGGTATTATGTGATTTTGAGTTGGAATTTTGTTGGTAACGGTTGCTATGATTGCAAATCTTTATGCAAAGTTTCTGTTTTTGAATGAGATTCTCAGGTTCCAATTGGTGGGTGTTATAGACTCATAGATATCCCCATGAGCAATTGCATCAACAGTGGCATCAGAAAAATATTCATTTTGACGCAGTTTAACTCTTTTTCTCTCAACCGTCACCTGTCGCGGACATACAGCTTTGGAAATGGCATGAATTTTGGAGACGGTTTTGTGGAGGTGGGTTACTGTTATGTTTGAAAGGAAGTTTTGATTTCTATTTTCGAAAACTGTTTTTAGTTTTTAAAATGCAACTTGCTCAGATAGTCAGTGAATGGTAATGCCAGACATACACCGGAGTGTGTAATTGAGGGAGAGGTTGAACTAGACGAGAAAATCTGGCAGCTGTGTCTGTTTTTTGGTTCTTTAAACACTTGTTTTTTACAATAATTTTCAGAACTTACTGGATGTTGCATGATAAACTGATTGCTGGGTGGTATGAAATTGTTTGAGAAAATGGTTTTTAAAACCAGCAAGTGGTAAGACAACCAAACAACATTCGTTATTTCTTCTGGAAAGTGCATTTTGCTACAAGTTTTATCAAGAATTGATTTGTAATTATATGTGAACAGGTCTTGGCCGCTACTCAGACGCCTGGAGAGGCAGGGAAGAAATGGTTCCAGGGAACAGCCGATGCTGTTAGGCAATTTATTTGGGTTTTTGAGGTAAAAACATACGATGTTGTGTGCTTGCTAAAAATACTAGTTTGATATATGTAGTAGTGAATGTGGGTCTGTACGATCTTGCAGGATGCCAAGAACAAGAATGTGGAGCATATATTGATACTTTCTGGGGATCATCTTTACCGGATGGACTATATGGACTTTGTACAGGTATAAATGGTATAAATTTTCATCTAACATTTCTAGTTTTCTGAAACTAATGTTGATTTCGATGGGGTCTATGATTGCAGAGACACGTTGACACGAATGCTGATATCACAGTTTCATGTGTTCCCATGGATGACAGGTATCTCTACGTGAAAATCTGCATGATTTGATTTCTTACAATAAAGGAACTCCACCTTATTCACAAGAGCTAAACATTCACTGAAAATGATATCTTTTTTGTTTTATCTTGAATTGAGTTTGGAGTTGATCAGCGTTAATTTTCTTGTAGCCGGGCATCAGACTATGGACTGATGAAAATTGATAAAACCGGACGAATTGTACAGTTTGCAGAAAAACCTAAGGGATCGGATCTAAAGGCAATGGTATGCTGATAGTATCTTGATTCTAAAGTCTAAAATACATACTTTTACTTGAATAATTGAGATTTTGATCTAGTTATTATCTAGCTGATAAATTTTCAATTACTGCAGCGTGTTGACACCACTCTTCTAGGGTTATCGCCACAAGAAGCAGAAAAATATCCTTATATTGCATCCATGGGTGTCTACGTGTTTAGAACTGAAACTCTGCTGCAACTATTAAGATGGAAATGTTCTTCATTCAATGACTTTGGATCTGAAATTATCCCATCTGCAGTGAGCGAGCACAATGTCCAGGTGAGAGGGAATTTCTCGTTGTTGTTCTTTTTTAAAATCTTTGAATGCCAACAAAGTAATCTCTTTTGGTCTACCAGTAACCTGCCAATTTTTTCTTTCCCTTTGCATCTCAGGCATATTTGTTCAATGACTACTGGGAAGATATTGGAACTATAAAGTCCTTCTTTGATGCAAACCTCGCCCTAACAGAACAGGTTACTTCAAATAGCCCATAATTTTTTAATGGCTATACACTTTGGGTAACTTTTCACGATTTAGAAGCATTGATTGTTTATTCTTTTGAATGTTGCTGATAATAGAAGACTTGAATATATAGTGTTGATAAAATGTTATTTTTACTATTGAACAAGTTTTCATTAAAAAGGGAAAGTGTAGTAATCCAATAATTAGTTATTTATGGTATTACTTGCAGCCTCCTAAATTTGAGTTTTATGATCCAAAGACACCTTTCTTCACTTCCCCAAGATTCCTCCCACCCACTAAAGTAGAAAAATGCAAGGTATGTCAGTCAATTATTACTAAGTTGCTTTGTGAGATTGGACTCTGCTGAACATGATGACACTGTTGATTTGATGTTTGCATATGGGTTGGTTTCATAGATTGTGGATGCAATTGTTTCTCACGGTTGCTTCTTGAGGGACTGTAGCGTTCGGCACTCTATTGTGGGAGTACGCTCACGTTTAGAATCTGGTGTGGAGCTTCAGGTAAACAATAATCTGCATTACCAAAATCTGTACTGCATTTCCACTCCAAATCGTAGGAATCAATTTTTAACATCCCTAACACAACTCCACCTCCTTGATTGACAACTTTTTATCTTCTGTTTTGGATCATCAGTGATAAATGCTTTATACCTTCTTGGATTTTGTTATCCAGGATACCATGATGATGGGTGCTGATTACTATCAGACCGAGTCAGAAATTGCATCTTTGCTGGCAGAAGGAAAGGTTCCAATTGGTGTTGGGGAAAATACAAAAATCAGGTGTGGTTGATTGAGTCTCGTGAAGAATTTCCTCTTATCTGTATTCTAACAACATTTAAACCATACTTACCAATTTACATGCCATAATGTAAAAAATTATTGGAACCATCCATTCCTGATACCCCGATTTTTTTTAAAGGAATTGCATAATCGACAAGAATGCCAAGATAGGAAAGAATGTTATCATCGCAAATGCAGATGTGAGTAGTGTTTCAACACGTTGCTTTCAGAAACTTCTGCAATAGACTTATATACTCTTATCTAGACTGATTTAAATCATTGATTTCTCAGGGTGTCCAAGAAGCTGATAGGGCCAAGGAAGGATTCTACATCAGATCTGGCATCACGATTACACTGAAAAATGCAACCATTAAAGATGGAACAGTTATATGAAGCATCCAACAGGCCTCTTTGTAATCATAGTATAGAAATAAATACATTCACTTGCGGACGTAGTCCTTGATGAAACGCATGCTTGTACATTACTAAGTTTCTTTCCATATATCTCAATAAATGATAGTCATGCCCATAACACTTGTAGGACACATCTAATACTTTAACGAAAATTACTACCCACTCCGCCCTCTACAATTATTAGGACACTCCATTCTGAGGATCAATCCTCACACAATTAAGTTACAAAGTTGCTAACTTTCTCTCTCTCTCTATATATATATATCTATATATGTATATATATATATATATATATATATATATATATATATATATATATATATATTGGTAGTTAAGACATATAACTCAGTTTCCAACGTTAGCACCGACACGCCATTGTGAGCCTCTGATTTCCTTAGCTCTATTCCATTTCTCGATGTTTCTGAGTCTGGCGTACATCTTGCGAATGTGGTTTAGTTTTTGAGACTGTTGAGCGATCAAAGTAGCCGTTGAGGGGCTTTCATCTAAGACCACCTCGTAACCATCTCGAAAGGAATCCATTCCTTGAGCTAGAAGCTGCCAGAACAAGCCACCAACAGCAGCACCACCACTACTTGCGGATGAGTATATTGCTGAATAAACCGTGTTGAATAACCGATCCCTTGGTGATGAGTTGCCACCGAAGCTTTTTGTGGAAATACCGAACTCCGCAAAGAGAACTGGCTTGTGAAGAGTGTTCTGCGCATCTTGGATGTGCTCATCCACCCACCGCTCTAAGAATGATATTTGTTCTTCATAACCTGAACTCGATAGCCTGCAAAGTAAACACGACCCATTCAGCTTTAACGACAAAATGGAAATCTTGTACACAACTGATCTGAATTTTTCATATAGCAATTTTGTTGATTGAAATAAAAAGTCTAACCATTGGTCTGGGTAGGAGTGAACTGTTGCGAAATCGATGCCGGGGATTTGGTTGTTTGCAATGAAATCAGTTCCAACATTGAAGTTTGGATTGGACTGAAGCTTTGACTGGCCGTAGAAACCCTCCAAACCTGCTTCCAGCAAGTGGTTTCCATCTATGGATTTCAGGTGAGATGCCATCTCAGAAATCCAAGCCTGTCAGAATGATTAATTCTTAAAAATTAAAATTACGTAAAAGATGATAGAACATGTATTACATTTTTCCTAGTAAATTATATGTATATTTACAATTTTCCAAGCAATACATTACACATGTACACAGATTATCTATAATTGCAGATTGTTTGTACATTGACAACGACTAAACTACGAAAAATACGAAGTGAAAGTACTATAGTTATCAAAAAATCAAAAAATAATTAACAATATTAACATGCAATCCATGTTCAAGAACTTCACTAGATGAAATTATGCATTTATAGAGTTTTAAAAATGAATTGAGCAATTAATAAATTGATTTGGGAAACGGAATTATGCATTTACCTGAACTGTTTTTCCTGATTGATCAGAAGGGCACCTAATCTCATTCATAAGTTCCCAAGCCATTATAGTTGGATCGTCTTTGTATGCAATTCCAGTGATGCTGTTACGTCTTGTAAGAACAGCCTATAAAACACTCACATAAAACAAACTCCAATGTTACATCTCTTTTTTTCACCAGTAGTACCAATTCTTCTGTATACAAGCCATTCATTCCACACGTTGAGTGCAATTTTAGGAATAAATAATATTAAAAATAAAATTTAATGCTTTTATTTATAAACATTTTTTAAAATGATAATCTAAGGCAATAATGAAAGACTTTTTAGGTAAAGGTGTAACTTGCGAACATGAATTCTCGGTAAGATTTTATAAATACATCAAAATATTTACAACAAAATCAATTGTGTTGGACTCTGTTGTAGAATCTTTAGGACAACAATACGTCGTTTAACTACAATAATTTGTCTTTAACTCTTTTTTCATTCTTCTTTGCTTATCTTTTTTTTTTATCAAGGAAAAAAAACATGATTGCTAAAACTTTAAAGAAAACACAACAAACCACATATTTCACAATCTTTGTTTTTTTTCCCTGTGTAGATGACAAATTATTCTCAGAGTCATTACTTTCTATCTCGATCGCACAGCACCCATCCTATTTTGTTGAAGCTTGTTTCATCAACAAGGATAACATTAACGAAAACAAAATAAAAAGATCATTTACCTTGATATGGTTTTTGTAGAATCCCTTGGCCACAGGATTTGTGAAGAAGTCATCTTCAGAATTTATGGACTGTCCCTGACTCCTTGCCCATTCTACGTACTGTTTCTTGCCACCCATGTTCTCATAGTTATTCACCAAACTCAGAACCAGCTTGATCCCGTATTTTCTTGCTTCCGCTATTGCGAAATCCAATCCCTTTTATTCTCAATCCAAGAAAACAGAGTTAACAGAGGGAAAATATCATCATCTGTTGGAAGTTCAAAATAAGTAGTACGGATTTCACTTTAAAAGCTGATTTTATAAAATTAAATTAGACTTAAATTACAACATGGCGTGAGTTAGATAGATGAAGTCTTGTAATCACTAAATTTGGTTAATATTCCGTTGTTGTGAAATTGAAAAGTGAGAAACTAACCTGGAAAACTTGTTCGTCGTAGGATCCAGGAGAGTATTGTAAGGGCTTGTAGCCGCCATCACTGAAAGCCCAAGTTCTGGCTATGTTGAGTCCATGATTTGAAGCCTGTTGAAAGGCTGAAGAGACTTTGTTTCTCTGAGAAGGATCAGAGGCAATGTACATAAGCCAATAGGCATTGAAGCCATTAGCATAGAAGGGGCTTCCGTTCAGTGTAAGTTGCACTCCTCTTGTTTTCACAAACCCACCACCATCATCTGCTTCTACACGGAGCACTTTACTCACATACAGAACAAAGAAAACCAAAAGCAACCCACGAAGCACCGCCATTCTCTCAACTTCACTCACTCTCGCTTTTCCCTGCCTTCTCGATGTGGGCTTTTAAATGCCTAGATTCTGTCCTTCTTTGTGGGGTAAGTTAGGAAACTTATTAAAAATAAAAATAATTAGCGTGATTTGTTACTCTTAAAAAGTGTGGAACACTGGATGGGGATTGAAATATTGAAATGCCATTAAAGCACACTGAGATGGTGGTAACGTGGTGGTTGAACTCGAACAAGATGAGACTCAAGAGAGTGGGCCTAGTGAAGAGTGGAAGTCGAAGGAGAAGCACCACAAACCTCACGTGTCACGGTCACTGTGGGTCCGTAATCACGGCCGTTGAAAAAAGACAAAACGTGTGGTTAAAATTACTTGCCCCGTGACTTGTGAAAACGTTATTTTTTTTATTTAGTTATTAAATAACTCATAGTTAAATCAATTGGGTAATACATTTTTAATTTTACAACAAAGGTTATGTTAATTATAATTTAATACCAACTTGTTATTAAATTTTCTATATAATTCTCTAGTTTAATACTAGTAGTAGTTATTTTGGTGATGTTGGGTTTCCAAAAAAGTAGAAAAACGACAGGCGCAATTTACGGCGTAAACTTGGTTGTCTTCTCCTTGCATTAGCTTTCGTTTTCGCACCGAAAGAAAAAAAACCCGTTTTATGACATTGTCATGTTCGGTAGACCTTAAATTTAATGATGCTAAATTACTTTTTCTTGTTTTAAAACAAATTCGTACGGAAATTGATATCTTTAATAAAAAGTTTTAATTGCAAACAGGTCAATTTTGAAGGAAAAAACTTATTTAACCTAATTTGATTTTATAAGCCATTGACTGCGATAAATTCATTTCCAAAATATTTATTAGTGGCAGAATATCAGGCCATAATTTCCTCCTTGATGGATTGACCCGGAATGCAAACAAAGAAAATATTCAAAAAGTGCAATGTAATGTAAGACCATAACGCAAGGAATAAAGTATCAAAAAAGCGATTATAGTGAAGAATATCATAAAATAAAATCCTTATGCTCTCTTTGTCACACAATCAGTTTCATAGTTCTTCAAATAAAGTGCATTAATCACAGTAACACGATTAAATTAAAAAATTATAATTTAATGTCAGATATAAATATTGATTTCATGAATGTGGTATGAATACCTCGTGGCATGTTTCCATTTTCGGGACCCATCTGATGAATCCCGAAACTTTCCTGGTTCATTTTTTTTTTTTAATTTTAATTTATATTTTATATTTTATATAATTAAAAAAAAAAAAAGGCACCGACGCGCTTCGGGGATTGAGCTAGTGAGGGTACCCTTAAGCTAGGGAGGGTACCCTTAGGACGTGTTTCTACAAATAATGGTCAATGGATTTATAGTGTGACTTGATATTGATGTGTCAGGTAAACACATTTCGATTTTTTGGATTTTTACTTTGTATATTTAACTCATTTAACCAATAAAAAACCATAATATCTGAAATCTGAAATGTGTTGTTTATATATCGTCCAAAATCATGTGATGATAATAAATTTATGATTTTTTTCTCTCGTAGCCGTTCGTAAAACATTTGAGAGGAAGAAAACTAAATTATTATGAAATAATATTTTAATATTATATTTTTTAAATGAATTCAATGTGATATTAATAAATACAAATCAAACTTTGATTTCTTCATTTAAGTTATGTTTAGTTGAACAAATATTGTTAACTAATGATATCATAAATTTATATTCTATTATTGAATACTAACAAAATTAAATTATATTTTCTAGGGTGCGTACGAAATTAATGTTTTATTGTGGCTGTGGATTTATGGTTTTGCAAAAGTAAAAGAAATAAAAAAAAAAAACAGATTTTTCATAGGATAGAGAGAACCCCACAAAGGTTTTCCTGGATCCGGTGTCTCCAGTTAAGTGGGCAAACTTTCGCCTACTGTTCCCTTTTCTTTTCTGATTTTTCTCAAAATTACAATAAAAAAAACTAAATTTGTATCGTTATTGTAAAGTAGTTTACATCTAACTCAATTTTTTAATTAAAATTGGTTATATTCTAACATTTTATTATATTTCTAGATAAATCTCCCATATCCGTTTCGTCTATTTTTATGCAATTTGGATATTTTTATTATATTTTTAAAATATATTGATATTTTAAAATATATTAAAAATATTTTTAATATATTAAAAGTACTATATTTTAA